CCAAAACTGAAAAAAATTAGTAAAAACAAGAAATGATTGTAACAGGATGCTGTTACGAAGTCTCCCAAACAAAGCTCCCATATTTCGTAATTCCCAGGGTCGCCTGACATTGGACAAAGTCCTGTGAAAATTGGTTTGGTCCAGTAAAGTTATATGCATTAGTGATGCCTGGGGACTAACCCTGTATATCATTCAAATCATCTTGGCATGACAAACCAGAATATATATGGTTTAGGGGTGGGGATCTCAACCATTTACAAGATACAAGAACATTGGGGGTGGGGGGAACCCCTGGGGACTGACCTTAAACGTCATTCAAATGTTCGAGACATGAGGAACAGGAATATATATGGTTTAGGGGTGGGGATCACGACCATTTACAAGATATTAGAACATTGGGGGTGGGGGGAACCCCTGGGGACTGACCATATACGTCATTCAAATGTTCTAGACATGATTAACAGGAATATATATGGTTTATGGGTGGGGATCTCTACCATTTACAAGATATTAGAACTTTCTCAAATGACAGGAGGTCGGGATGACCCCTGGGGACTAACCCTGTATATCATTCAAACCATCTTGGTATGACAAACCAGAATATATATGGTTTAGGGGTGGGGATCTTGACCATTTACAAGATATTAGAACTTTCTCAAATGACAGGGGGTCGGGATGACCCCTGGGGACTAACCCTGTATATCATTCAAACCATCTTGGTATGACAAACCAGAATATATATGGTTTAGGGGTGGGGATCTTGACCACTTAGAAGATATTAGAACTTTCTTTAATGGCAGGGGGTGGGGGTAACCCCTGGGGACTAACCCTGTATTTCATTTGATGTGCTTTATCATGACAAACCAGAATATATATGGTTTAGGGGTGGGGATCTCAACCATTTACAAGATATCAGAACTTTCTTAAATAGCAGGGGGTGGGGGTGACCCCTGGGGACTAACCCTGTATTTCATTTGATGTGCTTTATCATGACAAACCAGAATGTATATGGTTTAGGGGTGGGGATCTGTACCATTTACAATATTACAACTTTCTCAAATGGCAGGGGGTGGGGTTGACCCCTGGGGACTCACCCTGTATATCATTCAAACCATCTTCGCATGACAAACCAGAATATATATGGTTTAGGGGTGGGGATCTTGACCACTTACAAGATATTAGAACTTTCTTAAATGGCAGGGGGTGGGGGTGACCCCTGGGGACTAACCCTGTATTTCATTTGATGTGCTATATCATGACAAACCAGAATATATATGGTTTAGAGGTGGGGATCTCGACCATTTACAAGATATTAGAACTTTCTCAAATGGCAGGGGGTGGGGGTGACCCCTGGGGACTCACCCTGTATTTCATTTAATGTGCTTTATCATTTAGAACATTTTCAATTAAAAAGATTGTGTCTATCACAAACGGTTTTCAATTTATAATCATTTGAAAATTTAAAAAAATAAAATCCCATAGGGTTCTATAGTAAAACCCTCCTTTCTTTTTTACCCCTTTATAAACCCCATTGCACAAACAAAACCCTGATTGTTAGTCTAACATATTGTGAAACCCTAAGTTAATCTGACAAGCGGTTTTGGAGAACGGGTGCGGACAAGTTCAAATTTAAAAGTGGCGGAAGAAGAAGAAGAAGAAGAAGAATAATAATAAATATAAATCAATTGTTTTAAAAACAATTGTTAACGGTCTTTCCTCTCCGAAACATGATTGATTGATTAATTAATTGATTGGTTGGTTGGTTGGCTGGTTGGCTGATATAGTAATTAAACACATGGGAAAGGGTCTCTTGGAACAAGCGAAAAAGAAACAAATGAGATCTTGGGCCCCGTATTAAACAGATTGGTTGGTTGGTTGGTTGTTTGGTTGTTTGGTTGGTAGGTAGGTTGATTGATTGATTGATTAGTTGATTGACTGATTGATTGATTGAAAGTTTGCATGGCACTCTCTCTATGCGAGGTATTGGACTTAACGTTGATATTCTGAGCGAACGTGGCTGCGTATTTGTACATCTCGGACAGCCAAACGGACAGCCAGGATTTCCTTATGAATAAAAATCCTTATATCTTCATTTTATAAATGTTCTCTTTTTTTCTACGGGAACTCTGACTTCAGGTTGTTTTCTTTTTATTTGTTGTGTGTGCATTTTATTTGAGCTGGTAGGAAAACTGAGAAACATTTTGTTGTGGAAGTTCCATTTTCTTTATTTGGATATGGAATTTTTTATTCTAAATTTAGGTCCGCGCGCGCGGTGGTGTTTGTGAAGTCACGTGACACTCAAATATATATGTCTGGAGTTAGAATATTAATATCTTTTCAGGGGAGACCGTTGAACAGAGCACATGTGTATTGATCAGAGAAACACGATAACTATTGTTTTTATTTTGTACAGGTCATTGATGTCGGATCATGCATACATATTACGTACACATGTTTACAGGAGCACAGGTTTGTATTTTAATGCATGTTTAGAAATTTGATTGTAGGATTTCAGTAATATTTACGAACTTGGGAGGGATTTCTACGACATTGATTTTAATTTCGCAATCAAGCAGACCGCACGTGTCTCATCGATTAATTTCAGAAAATACATGAATTGTAGCAGATTTTTGAAGGGATGGATTTCTATTTCAGAAAGAAATTTGTACATAAGCTGGATTAGCATTTTACAGTATAATGTACGGGACTAAAAGCGATTTTCTTATCATAGAAATGGGATAACTTTAAAAAAAAAGTCAGTTGAAAAAAAAGGGGGGGGGGGGGAGTGTAGTGGTAGACTGTGGTTGATAATTGAGATAAGAAACATTTACAACATGATAGCTGCAAAGTTTGAAGTTTTGATAAGTAATTTGTTGATTCGACCATAACAGGGACATTGACCCTGCAATAAAATGACGCGTACCATTTCGACATAAAATTTCTGGTAAACACGTGTCGTGACAAACTTTTTGGTTAAATTGTTTTGTCGATATCTATAACTCTTTCTAGGAAGAAGCGATATGAACTTAATGTAAATAATCACAGCATGACCTTGAACTTTGACCTTGACCTAGTTTTCTATTCTTTAGGACCAAGGACCTCAAATCAACAGACCCTAGGTCTCTATCACTTATGGTTTACCAGTTACAAATGCATATCACTTATTTCAAATGCATTAGGGGAAATAACTCTCATATGGAGTCTTCGTATTGCTTTGGTCAAAATAGGACAAATCATGCAAAGGATATAACGAGCAATTTTATAAAATAAATTTGTCGCTTTCTTTTACGGTTACGGAGGAGATGCAGTCACAAGGAAAACAGTGTTCAGGGAGATAACTCCTACAAAGAAAATTGTTCGGCTTAGAATGGGTGAAAATAAAAAGCGCATAAACTGTATGATACTATATAAGAAATATCTAAGCGACATCTTGCGAAACAAAAATTTTACGCGAGAACAAAATTAGGCGGAAGAAAAAAATAATAATAATTAAAAACTAATTGTTCAGAGAACAATTGAAGGTCTTTCCACCCATGCAGATCAATTTTGAAATAGAACTATGAAAATTCAGTTTGAAATATCATATCCAGCGTCAAATGATAGCTTATTGTAAACTGATTCCAAAAATATATGGTTTCTATACATTTTTCTCTAAATAAAGGAGATAAATTGTTACTTCCGGTTTGAAATATGTCACTTCCCCTTTTATTTGATAGTTTACTTGATACTGATTCCAAAAATATATTGTTCAATACACTTTACATCAAATAAGTACAAAACAAAGCTATTTCCCGTTTACACAAGGTCACTTCCGGTTGGCTTTTCAAGGTCATGTAAATTGCAACCTAATAAAAAAAGTCCCATGGCTTTATCGTGTTTAAATATGAAGTTAAAGCAAAGGTAAAAATCTAGAACATCAAATTTAACTTTGACATTGAGCTCAATTTCAAGGTCATACACCAAGGACCTTTAATCATATTACCCTAGGTCTTTATTATACTTGGTAAATGAGTTTGGGAGACTTAATAAAGAATCCAAATGGGGTTGTTGAATTTTCTGAAATTTTTCAGGTAGATTATTCATGCAATTTACAAATTTAAACAAGCTTCTTAAGTGATCAAAACAATAGCCAAGAAATACCAAAAAAATTAAAATCAACATTACAGGGGCAATAACTTCAAAATTGGTTGACAGATTTGTCTAAAAAATTGGGGTAACAGGGCTGGTCCTAAACATTTTTATCTAATTGCTATAGTTTTCGAGGTATAAAAATTATTATATTTCCATCTATGGTAACAATATTAGTTGATCAACCTTGAAGAAAATCACAAACTTTATAGTAGACATTCTACAGATGAAGCAGACAGACTTTGGTTTCAATCCATATCGTGGTTTTAGAGAAGAAGATTTTTAAAGAAAAGTTAAGGTACAATTGCCAACAGACAATGGATGAGGGAAAACACATCTTCAGGCCACTGAGGGGAGATAAAAAAGGATAACAGGAATTACCAAAAGTAAAAAAAGATAGATGTACAGAGGATCTGTTCAATAGTTAGAAAGTAACAGCACAAAAACCAAGTTCAAACAGTTATACAACCATGAATGACAATACCATAATCCAGTTAAATCGACCACAGGTTTTGGTTTTTATTACAGTTTAGCTTGGAATCAATGGTTTTAACAGTCTTACTAACAGTAATCAGTATCTGCATACAAGGTATAATGAAGCATCCAGGTCTTCTACCTTCTGAAATATAAAGTCTTATACAAATAGTTTACACCACCATCACCACCACAAGATAGTAATTCCTATGTCTAGCATCCTGCAACTATCTTCACAAGCGAGACAAAATGGCTGACCCTTCTAAATAAATATGTGGTCAACTAGACCTGTTATATGACCTTAAAAGTCTGCAGTCCTTTAATAAAATTAATACATGTATGTAGTTTGACCATTCTATATCTTTAACAGAAAACTGTAGTGCACTATCTATAGTTACCAATATGAAATTCATATTTCTTCCAGCCAAGAAATAACCACCTGCACTGCCTCTATTCTTCCTTGAGGACTGAAATTATAAACAAAAACAACAAATCATTCAAAACTAGAAAATAACTTTAAAAGTTTATAAATTGATAAATTCAACTCTAATAGAGCAATCACAATGCATCTGATAGAATCTTTTAAATAAAAAACAAGAGGCTCCCAAGAGCCTGTATCACTCACCTAGTATTTATGCCAACATGCAACAAAATTATGTAGACCAAAATCTGTCTTACTGATCATTTTAGATTTTAAAACTATTGTATAAAAAGTTTAATATTTCTGTTTGAAATATTTTTGGAACATAGTCGATTGTGTTGAGTCCTATTAGACAGAAGTACCATAAGTAAATTGGTGTAAATGTTAAGTTCCAACCAGTTTTCTGTTTCACCACTTTGAAACCCATCTAATGTATTCAATGATGGTGAAACTGTTCATAATGGTTAGGAAGGTCAATGAATACAATAATGAAGTGAATATATTTCAGCTGAAGCTGACATTTTCACTGAACTAGTGCACATTTTTGTTAAGCAGCCAGCTGAAGCCCGCCTCCAAGTGCGGGATTTTCTCGTTGTGTTTGTTGTCTCTTTGACACATTCCCCATTTCCATTCTCAATTTTATGTAAAACAACCCAATCTGTATTAAGAGATATATTTAGGTGTTGAAGAAAAACAAGAGTGCACACACTGAAATGTCTCGCCTACTTTACTAACATTGATTTTATGTTGATAGCCCTAAATATAAAGTTTTACTACAAGTATCATATAACTTATCATGATCCAAGAAAATGAGGTCAAGATCAGATAAGCCATGCCAGAAATACATGTACACCTTACAATCATTCCATACATTGAATATAGTTGACCTATTGCTTATAGTATACAAGAAACAGACCAACCCATGAAAACATTATATTGACCAATAAACCATGAATATGAGGTCAAAGTCAGATGAACCCTGCCAGACAGACATGTACACTTTACAATCATTCCATCAGGGGCAGATCCAGCCATTTATAAAAGGGGGGTTCCAACTATATGTCCCCATTCAAATGCATTGATCGTCAAAATAAAAGGGGGGGGTTCCAACCCCCGGAACCCACCCCCTTCCCCCTTCCCCCTGGATCCGCCACTGATTCCATACACCAAACATAGTTGAAAAATTGCTTATAGTTTAAGAAAAACAGACCAAAACACAAAAACTTAACATTGAGCAATGAATTGTGAAAATGAGGTCACGGTCAAATAAAACCTGCGAGACTGACATGTACATTATAAAATATTTCCATACACCAAATATAGCAGCTGACCTATTGCATACAGTATTAGAAATAAACCAAAAACTTTAACCACTGAACCATGTAAATGAGGTCAAGGTCAGATGAACCCTGCCAGACAGATGTGTACACTTTACAATCATTCCATATACACCAAATATAGTAGACCTATTGCTTATAGTATCTGAGATATATGGACTTGACCACGAAAAGTTAACCTTGTTCACTGATCCATAAAATGATGTTGAGGTCAAGTGAAAACTGTCTGACGGGTATGGGGACTGTGCAAGGTATGCACATTCCAAATATAGTTATCCTATTACTCATAATAGGAGAGAAATTAACATTACAAAAATGAGGTCAAGGACAAAGGACATATGACAGACGGAAACTTCATAACATAAGGTATCTATATATAAAGTATGAAGCATCCAGGTCTTCTACCTTCTGAAATATTAACCTTTTTAAGTAGTTAGTTTACGCCGCTGCCGCCAAATCACTATTCCTATGTCGAGCTTTCTGCGACAAAAGTTGCAGGCTCGACAAAAAAGACAATGCCAATGATAAAAGGCTAAATTGAGGTAATAGGGTTAATATGAGACAAAAAAAGATCCATGGAGGAAAATTCAATATGTCCAAATTTTATTGCAATTTTTGCCTTCAAAAAATGAATTTGCTATTAATCTTTTTATTTCAAAATTGACATAGGTTTTCTTACATTACTATTGTATTGTCTCTTGTTAGCTTATCTAATGCATGGGGTCTTGTGCGTTTCCATCACTTAATCCAATGACCATAAACCTGGCATTACCTTTCTTGGCAATCCCTTAAATTATAAATATTGCTAAAAAAAAGGCTTAACTATATGTTATTTGCAATAATTGACCATCAAAATGAAAGAAAATCTCTGAGAAACCATTTAAAATGTATTGGATGGGGACTCTGTATCAAGCCTAAAGTACTTTTAATCAAGGCTTAACAATGTCTACCATTGATGCTTTCATAGGATCTGAAACTTGGGGTTCATACATTGTATATACATTCAAGACATGTGTCTACTGCTACCATCTGAACAAGTACTTGATTAGGTTAAAATGGTTTAAAGCAGCTAGGACAAAACTCGCATATGAAATGCAACTACAAATGTACCTACTCATCATCTGCAAGAAATGATTGCAATGGAGGAGAAATGTGGTACATTTACAACAATAGATGAAAAAAATCCAGAAATAATCAGTAAGAATAATGAAATGGCCATATGAGCTTGTTGTGTAATATAATATTTCTATACAATGTCTTCATGAAATGTATTGCACAAACTGTTACTGAGTAATTTGCTATTAAAGTAGCATCAAGGATGTAGTACTATACAAATCATATAATGTAACTGGAGTGGAAATTCCCTAAATTCTATAAATAGAATCATTAAGATAGAAATACAACCTTCACCGATGCAACAAATTTTTTTAATTATTGCGCGAAAATTATTAACTTTTTTCTATAATTTCCCCAAAGTCTTTAGGAATTTTCCACGCCTTTCTAATGGAAAAGTTTGTGTTATTTAACAACTTACCCAAAGCCCAATAAACAGAACAAATACAAAATATCCAATAATAACGATAAAATCGCCATAGTGAAGTTGTGTACCAGCAACTGTGTCGGATGCCATATTGAGATATAGAATCAGTATAAAGGTCAACTTGTTAAACCACTGCCTATTTTACCACAAATAAAAATCCGCCACGCTTGTGTACATGTATATACAAACACTGCAGTGTTAAGTCACGTGATCGATTTTACTTTTTAAATATTTCTCTTTTTTTATCCAAGTACTAGGGCTAATTGACCCTGTTAAAAGGTAAATGAGCAATTCGCTTTGATAAAGAAAAGACGCTTTGCGGAAAAGATCGTCTTTTTTTTAATTTCAGCTAGCGAGTCTATAACATATCATATTTGCAGACAAGTTTTCATAGCGTCAAGCTATCCACTAACAATTCATCATCTTTTAATTAATAATTCAACCGTTTATGAGGGTAGGAATGCCCTTTGCCGTCAGGTGTCAAACGGTCATTTTCGGCTACCGTTATCGTCAAATTGGTTAAAATTTTATCGTGATTCGTCAAAATATCAAGTTATCGTGATTCGTCAGAGGTCTAAAATAATTACCCGTTACCGTTATTTTGGAAAAAAATTAACGTGATTCGTCAAAACAAGGATTTGTATACAAATCCTTGGTCAAAATCAGTCGATTTTTTTATCGTCTTAAAGAAATTGTACATTTTATCGTCACCAACAATTACCGTTAACGTTATTTGGCAAGATTTTTTATCGTTATTCGTCATTAAGCTACCCCATTACGACCCTCGTTTATCAGTTCTGTTATCCGCTTTATCTGTAGTGCCTTTATTAACGTATACCAGTACCAAACCTTGGTCAGCTTCACTACTCTTTTTTTCAACAAAAGAAAATAATAATTTATATCCTCTTCTGCTGAAATTCAAAATAGCAGCATGTATTCATCAGAAATTAAAAGTGACATCAATACAAATCATTATTGACATCAACTTATGAAAGGTCCAGGGTCTATGTCCAAAAGCCTTGTGATTTGACACGAACCTTGCATTGTTTTCATCCCCCGAGTTTTTATTTTTATGTGCATGTTTGCTTAATCTTCAGATTTCTGTTACATATTTTTTATCTTTTCATTGCTTTTCTTTTTTTTTTTCCTATTTTATGTTTTTTTTTCTTCAACGTATGGTTTTTAATTTCAAACTTTCTACATCTACAGGTTACAAAGGACTATCTTTTTAGACCCTAATGTTTTGGAAATACAGCGTGGTTGGTTTAGAAGTTAACTGAGATTTAAACTGAAAAGAATAAGATAACAGTAATAGGCTGAAGGAAAGACAGCGAGAAAACAATTTCCAGTACGATCTATATATATGCCGTGGTTCCATGACATATTATGACTTAAATTAACTCCTAGGTGTTTGGCTGTTTCTGTTATTTCCAGTTGGTTACCTTTCATGTGGTATTTGTAAAGGATTGGTTTCCTACTTGTAGTACATTACATTTATCTTCCCTAGTGGCGAGCTCAATTAGGTCTTTTTGTAGTTCCTCACAGTAATTTTGGTTTTTTATCTGTCTGTAGACAATAGCGCCATCAGCAAAAGGTCGAGTCTTGGATTTAACGCACTATAGCAAGTCGTTTATGAAGGGCAGGAATAAAAGTGGGCCAATGACGGTTCCTTAGACACACTACTCACTTCTGATGCTCAATCAGAGGTTACTCCATCTACAATGACTAACTTGCTGAGATCTGTCTGTGAGAAAGGCTCCGATCCACTCAGAAAATTTGTATTTCTTCATTGCTATAGTAATCAGGCAGAGAGTTCGATAACTTACGTTGAAATAAAAGTACAGAAGCTGCATGTCCACATTAATTACTATTCGAAGTATGCATTACTTCATTCTTGATATGAAAAAGCAAGCTTTCTCCGTTTTCTTTTTTTTTCCTTATTATTTTTTTTTTTTGCCAGAAATTCAGACGAGGCAATTGCCTCGTCTGAATTGCCTCGTCTGCCTCATCGGTAGTTACGGCCCTGTTCAATAGTTTTGTTAATCCATTTTTCAGTGATGTTACTTTTAGGCATCGGTGCAAAGGTATTCCCTGTTTGTTTTGGGATATCAGTTGTATCACCCTTTCTAAATACTGATTCATGCCGTCTATTTAGGATGTCAGTCTTGTCCTGTGGATTTTCATGCATTTGTTCATTCTCTTTTAGTGGTGCAACACCGCTGTTACATACTCCCAGTATGTCTTACGCAAAGTCCTTTGTACAGCTGATTTTGCATCTTTATACTTCTTAATATCTTTTGCATTCTTTGCTATCTTTTCCCTTTTTTCAGTTTTTATTCATTATACAGGATGCCGTTTGGTCTAAACAACATCTCGGTCACTTATATAATTACTAGAAAAAAATGGGAGACTGTCTAGCCGATTGTAAATCAAAGTGCTGGATAGCACCTGTGGAAAGTTTGCAACGGTAGATTGAAATATTTCAAATAGGTTGTAAATGAGTAGGTTAATTTTTTTCCGACTTTAAAAAAAAATTACTTAATACAAGAAATAATTGTAACAGGATGCTGTTACGAAATCTCCCAAACAAAGCTCCCATAATTAGTCCTTTCCACGGTCGCCTGACATTGGGCAAAGTCCAGTACAAATTGGTTTGGTCTAGTAAAGTGATATACATAAGTGACACCTAGGGATTACCCATGTATGTCATTCAAATCTTCTTGAAATCATGAACAGGAATATTTATGGTTTAGGGGTGGGGATCTCGACTATTTACAAGTTCTCAAACAGGAAGGGGGTGGGGGTGAGAGTGACCCATGGGGACTCGCCTTTTATTTTTTATCTGATTTGTTTTATTGGTCCGTACAAGAATATATATGGTTTGGTGGTAGGGATCCCAACCGTTTACAAGTTTTCACAAAGAAGGGGGTGGGGTGACCCCTGTGGACTTCCTCTATATTTCATTTGATTTGTTTTATTGTCCCATACAATAATATATATGGTTTATTGGGGGGATCTCGACCGTTTACAAGTTCTCAAACAGGAAGGTGCTGGGAGTGACCCCAGGGGACTCGCCTTTTATTTTTTTTTATTTGTTTTATTGTCCCGTTCAAGAATATATATGGTTTCGGGGTGGGGATCTTGACCGTTTACAAGTTCTCAAACAGGAGGGGGTGGGGGTGACACCCAGGGACTCCCCCTATATTTCATTTGATTTGTTTTATTGTCCCATACAAGAATATATATGGTTTAGGGTGGGAATCTCGACCGTTTACAAGTTCTCAAATAGGAGGGGGTGGGGCTGACCCAGAGGGACTCTCACTATATTTCATTTGATTTGTTTTGTTGCCCCATACAAGAATATATATGGTTTAGGGGTGGGGATCTTGACCGTTTACAAGTTCTCAAACATAATGGGGTGGGTGGGATTGACCCCAGGGACTCGACCTATATTTGATTTGATTTGTTTTATGGTCCTGTGATCATTACTGAAAACCGCGTGTGTCTATCACTTACTGTTTTCAAGTAATAGTCATTTGAAAATTTAAAAAAAAAATCCCATAGGGTTCTATAGTAATTCCCTCCCTTCTGTTGGCCCTTCAAAATACCCCTAAATAGACACCAAGAAGAAAAATAATAAAAACTGAGCAAAAACAATAAGTCTCCAAACTTTGTTTGGGAGACTTAATAGCAAGTAGTATAATTACGAATTTTGTTATGGTCCGATTTTCTGATGCCGATTATGTAATAGGCAGAGTTTATTATGGTCCGAGTTTGTTGTAGGCCGAGATGAGATACCAGGATACTTTCGATACACTCGGGCTTTTACGTCTTTAATAAACATTTGTAAAAATCGTAACCCGAATAATTCAGTCCCTCCCCTGTGATCATTACTGAAAACCGCATGTGTCTATCACTTACTGTTTTCAAGTAATAGTCATTTGAAAATTTAAAAAAAAAAATCCCATAGGGTTCTATAGTAATTCCCTCCCTTCTGTTGGCCCCTCAAAATACCCCTAAATAGACACCAAGAAGAAAAATAATAAAAACTGAGCAAAAGCAATAAGTCTCCAAACTTTGTTTGGGAGACTTAATAGCAAGTAGTATAATTACGAATTTTGTTATGGTCCGATTTTCTGATGCCGATTATGTAATAGGCAGAGTTTATTATAGTCCGAGTTTGTTGTGGGCCGATATGAGATACCAGGATACTTTCGATACACTCGGGCTTTTACGTCTTTAAAAAACATTTGTAAAAATCGTAACCCGAATAATTCAGTCCCTCCCCGTGATCGACTCTCCCACTCGCGAGGGCCTGAACTCTTTATACGATAAAAACGCGTCACGAATCCAGGATTTTGATTGGTGCTCTCTGTGAGAGAGAGCCAATCAGCTAAAAGCTAAATGTTATCGAGATAGGTAAATCCCGAGCGAATTCCGAATGATTTTTTGACGATTTTTCATTGACTAGGCCTTCAGGCGTTAATGTAGCCATCGTAGAGCAGTGGAATATAACGACTGAATTATTCGGGTTATAAAAATCGTAGTAAGCGTCGAAAAATGTTCATTCATGAAATATTTAAAACACAGTATTAATTTTCTCTTCAACCAGAGGACGGGAAGAAACCCCTGAAACCGGGATTATAGTACTCCCGTTTGGAGGCACACCTGGGAACAGTATATCTAACTGGGCACACATATATGGATCTCATGCATGTCTGGAGAATACCGATAAAAGCATGACGTAGAAACTGCTGTCTCGTGTGTGTATTGATTTTACTTTCCGCGCAGCGCAGATCCGCGAAGTAGTGTTTGTGATAGCCATTTTCAAAATGAAGTTGAATTATTTTAATTATCGATGAACATTCAGTACATTTTAATTCAAGCTGTAAGCTAATCAAAATAGAAGTAACACAAAATTTCAACAGCATCTTCCTAGAATTAGTTTTCAAACACCAGTACTACATTATCTAGGAGAAGAACACACATCCTAAAGTAAGATAGTCTGTCACTTCCGGTTTCAGTCCGATGCCTTAGGAAAGTTTATTGCTATAGCAAGCTATAGCAAACTTTCCAAAAATGAAAACAACACGTTATAAAGTTTATGCGTCCGAAGCGGTTTCTGGATTTACCTTCATCAGGAACGCTAAAAGCCGAATATTTGAAAGCCAAGGAT